GAACAGTAGAAGTCTTGGTCTCTTTTCCGGATTTCGGCTTCCAGTTTGGCAGCAGAAAACTACTGGGCTCATCTGGGTTACTTGTTTGGTATCTTGTGAGTAATTTCTACAATAAATACTTAGTTTTACTCTCAGTAAGTGTGCCGTTTATTGTTACAGTGTCATTTGGAGTGTCACTAATGCCTATGTTTTTCTGGTTGTAGTTAACTTCCTTGGGTTGGAGTTTTCCTTGCAAAACTTTCTGTAGGGCTGTGTTAGTGGATACGTATTGCTTGAATCTAGTTTTGTCATGGAATATCTTGTTTTCTCCATCTATAGTGATTGAGAGCTTTGCTGGGTATAGTAGTCTGGGCTGGCATCCATGGTCTCTTAGTGTTGGTAGAATATTTATCCAGGACCTTCTGGCTTTCAGAGTTTCCATGGAGAATTCAGGTGTAATTCTGATAGGTTTGCCTTTATATATTACTTGGCATTTTTCCTTAGCTGCTCTTAATATTCTTTCTTTATTCTGTATATTTGGGGTCTTGATTATTATGTGGCGAGGGGACTTTTTTTGTGATCCACTCTATTTGGTGTTCTGTAAGCTTCTTGTACCTTTATTGGCATGTCTTTCTTAAGCTTAGGAAAGTTTTCTTCTATGATTTTGTTAAATATGTTTTCTGCCCCTTTGAGGTGGTTTTTTCACCTTCTTCTATACCTATTATTCTTAGTTTTGGTCTTTTCATGGTGTCCCATATTTCCTGGATGTTTTGTGTTAAAGATTTGTTGGATTTAAGATTTTCTTTGGTTGATGAATCCATTTCTCCTAGTGTATCTTCAACACCTGAGGTTCTCCCTTCCATCGCTTGTATTCTGTTGGTAATGCTTGTATCGGTAGTACCTGACCGTTTGCCCAGCTTTTCTATTTCCTGCCTTTCTTCAGATTGTGGTTTTTTTTTATTGTCTCTATTTCAGTTTTTAACCCTTGCTCTGTTTGATTTTTTTCTTGCAATTTTCGGTTCATCGTTTTGTCCATTTGTTGCATTTCTTGAATTTTTTGGTTTGCTTTTTCTTCCATTTCTTGCATTTTTTCATTTGTTTTTTTCTTCCATTTTTTTGGTTTGCTTTTTCTTCCATTTCTTGCATTTTTTGTTTGTTTTTTCTTCCATTTCTTGCATTTTTTTGGTTTGTTTTTTCGTCCATTTCTTTGAGGGATTTTCCTATATCCTCTTTTAGGGCCTCTATCATTTTCATGAAGTTGTTTTAAGGTCATTCTCTTCTGCTTCATTTGCATTGGAATGTTGGAGTCTTACTGGTGTGGAGTCTTTAGAATCTGTCGGTGTCATTTTTGGTTTTCTGTTGCTGAGTGTGTTTTTGTATTGTCTCTTTCCCATCTCTTCTTCTAGTGGGTGCAGAAAGAGCCCTTTACAGGTCTGGTGGTTAGGGGACCAGAGTTCCCTTTTGGTGGGTGCAAACAAGTCCAATACTCTGGTAGTTCTTCTATTCCTCATCCTAGTGGAGAAGACAAGGAATCTGGAATCTAGGATACTTAGTGTTAAGAGAAGCTTTTTCTTTGAGAAAAGCCTTCCCGCCAGCCTGGTTCTAGAGCCGCATCAGTCCCAAATAAACACACAGGAGGCTATATTAGTTATGAAGCTGTTGGCCTTTGCTTCTTTCTAACTGGCTAGCTCTGACTTAAGTAATTACCCCATAATTGTTAATCTAAATATGTCTCTTACCGGAGAATAGTTTCAGGCTCCTACCCCATGGCGTTACATGTTGACTCTCTCTTGTTTCTCCTTCCCAGAATCCTCCTGGACTCATAGTCCCTCCTATCTAGATTCCCTATTGGCCAGACAGTACTTTATTGACAAATGCACAGGACTTCCCCAACACTTAGCCTCCCACCTGATACCCTGGTCCCTTTGGTGGAAGAGAAGACCTGGGGTCTGGGGTGCTTGGTTTCTGCTGGGATGGGACGCTCTGTGGCAGTCCCCAGTCACTCTAACATCTTTTAAAAAACAATGCCTAGTTGCTGAGTTGATTGTAGACACTAGAGAGCAAAAGTGGAAGTGGAGAGAACTAGAGGGTGCTGCAGGTACCCAGAAGAGACAGGGAGAGAGCTCACTCCAGGGTGAAAGAACGAGACAGTGGTTGGGTTCTAGACATGTAGTAATTGAAAAGTAGAACAGACAGTACTTTCTGGTTTTAAAAAAATCAGTTTAGAGTTAGAAACAAGGGAAGCAGGAAGGTTACAGTGACTCAAAGAGCCTTTATTTGTGGGAACTGAAAGTTTATCTAGAACTGGCTATGGAAAGTGTGCCATGCGGAACATGGACTGGAATCAGATATTGATGGCTGAAGTTGAGGGGTCTGCTAGCAAGGCCCTGGTGAGCAGGCACTAGGTGATGTAGTTTCAGCTGCATAAAGTACTAATGAGCTAGCATCCAGGATCATGTTGATGGAGCATAGGTTTAACTGTACACAATGGACAACATTTGATTTTTTAAATATAAGGCCAATTTTGTCAAGGTTTTATGAGCACTCAAAAATACAGTTCAATTTGCATTCACCATGAGTAATTAATAATCTATCTTATTTGGAAATTTGCAACTGTTTTTTTCTCTCAACTGATCTGATATTAGCAGAGAATGAAATTAGCTTTTGTTGACTTGCTTTCCTATTGTGTCTTTGTTTACCATCTACTAGGTTTGATGGCTTCAGTGGCTCAGTCTTCAGCCAATAGCCCCTTTGAGGTGATTAGACAAGATTAGAGTGCTTAGTCTAAGAAGATATATCTGTGAAAATGATGCAATAAAAGGTGTTATGTTGTTCAAGGTATATATTTCACATATTAATCTTCATATTTATACTTTTATACTCAAAGATAACATACTGATACTTAATGATTTTTTCTTGGTTTCAAATACACTAAGTTATCCTGACAGAGTATGTTGCTCAGATCCTTGATTTACTGACTGAACTTCATTCTATTGACTCATCAGAGAAATACAAATATTTCCTTCTATCCTGTGCATTTTTCTACTGCTAATTTTAGTTTTACATATTTTTGCTTCATGAATTTTAAACATTAAAATTACACTTTATTTATTTTGCCTTTAGGTGTAAGAGGGCAACACAGTTTTCTGCCTCCATCAGGTGTATCCTAGGAATCAAATTCAGGTATTCTGTCTTGGTAGATTGTCTTTACTTGATGAGCCATCTCACTAGCCCTGATTTAGGTATTTTTAAATGCTTAATAGTTACAAATGCACTCTTAGGACTATTAAGTAAGTATTTGTTTATTGTGTGGGAATCAAGATTCACTAGACTCAGTACAGGTTAAATGAAATTTATTTGGGGAGAATGTACTTACACAACAAGCAGGTGACTGCTACAAGTTCTAGTTCTTTTTTGTTTTTTTAATTTTTTATTTTAATTTTAAATAGCTTGTTTTACATGTCAATCTCAGTTCCCTCTCCCTCCCCTCCTCCCACACCCCCCATCCCCCCCAGCCTCCCACCCTATTGCCAATTCCTTCCACATAGGGGATATCTAGAGTCTGTCATTTCACTCAGGGTAGGGAAGAGTAACATATCTCCAGACAGGTCTCTGATAAGAGAAGACTATATGGGAATACTTAGATTGATAGAAATGGATTAGAAATTAGGTCAGAAGTAGCCAATAAGAAGCCCTGAATATTGGCCAACAATTTTATATTATAGTGTCTCATGTGTTATTTGGGGGTTCTGAGGCAGCTTCAGAACTGGGTGGGAGTCCTGTAATTGAATGGTGCCTACAACGTGGGCGTAAGTACTTCCTTACATTTACAATCTCACAAAGACTTAAAAAGGGGTTTTAGAAATAAAAGAACAGAGGCAAGCACAGCTTCTTGTTAGCAACATTTTCTTGGGAGAGATCTGTTTCCCAGGCATAGAGAGATGCACTGAGAGTCCTTTAAGAGCAGCTCCCTGATTTTCATATAGCACCAAAACTGTGGCTGTTAGCAAGCAGATAAGACTCATATGATTAAAAAAGATAAATATTTACAATAAACAAATATATATATAGGCTTGATAGAGAAAAGAAAAAATAAATAAAGTAGCTGGGCAATGGTAACACATGCCTTTAATCCCAGCACTCTAGAAGTAGAGACAGGCAGTTGTCTATAATTTAAGTCTTGTGTACAGAGTAAATTTCAAGACAGGCAAAAATAGACAGAATATTCATGTCTCCCATAAAAGGAGAAAAATAATAGAGAGATAGAGTTATAATAAAAAATAGATAAGTCATGTAAAGATGAAAAATACACAGAAAGTTTGGATACTATATGTTATTATGTTATCTTTAAAATTTGTAATTGCTTAGAAAGTAACAACTAACTACTATAAGACATCTAATAATCCAATTTATACATCTTAAAAATACTTTGACTTCAAAATTAATGTCTAAGGACAGGTTACTTGGGAAAAGAGTTTCTTCTTTTGTTTCCACAGAAAATAAAAAAGGTGTGGATTCCTTCCAGACTAATATGATTTGATGAAGCAAAACCCCTGAAACAGTGGCCCAGCTGATCCAGCATCTAAAACAGCTGAGATGATGCCGACTTACAGACTATAAAAACATGGATTTGGCCAGGTTTCTGTATTTTGACATGATTCCCATGGTATAAGCAGCACCCCCAACAAGCAGGAAGTAGTTTGGAAAGAATGACTTCCACATTCACAAATATTGTTTATAAATGTTTGTTTTCATTTAAATAGGGTTGGTTATAAATGGTCAATGATCACAACCAATCTCTTTTTAAAGCAATAGTTGATTATGGTATAGAAATGAATACTTTGTATTGGAGTGGATTTTCATCTAATGATACAAATTTAAAGTCAATATTGTGATATGCAGAACCCACAGGAAAGTGACTGCTGAAACAAAATGGACATTGCTACAGGGTTCCTGCTTCATGGAAGAGTCTGCCAGACATCCTAGAGGACACCGAGAAAAGTGACTGACAAACTGCCAGTACAGGAGGACAGTTAAAGTTTCCTGCTTTGCTGAGGAGTCTGCCAGACACATATGGCCTATGGGTCGAAGATGGAACATTACAGAAGAACTTCGGTGACTGACCAGGAAGTGAGTTCTCTTTGTCAATTCTAGAGTGTGTATATTATCCTTCTGTGGTCCTTGATGGAGTTGAAGACAGATAGTCATGGTTATAGTTTTCCTTAGTTAGGATAAAAGATAATTTACATATAAGACTTTAGACTCACAAAGATAAGGATAGATAAAATATTTTCTTTAAATCTTGCTAAATGTTATTGGAATAAATATTGTAACTATAGTTCTTGCTTAACAACTCTTCAGTTATATATAATTTTACTATGTTAAATTTAAAACTTTTATTTTTATTTAGACAGAAAAGAGGAGATGATAGAGGAAGACCTTCTGTGTATATGTTTGTCTTATTGGTTAATAAATAAAACACTGTTGGCCAATAGGGAAGCAAGATAAGCAGGACTAGGAGATAAGGAAGATTCTGGGAGGTGTAGGCACAGTGAGTCACAATATAGGATTAAAAAAGAGTAACATGTCCCTGGAAATGTCTCTGGTAAGAGAAGACCACAAGGAAATGTGTAGATTGATAGAAATTGGTTAGAAATTAAGTCAGAGGTAGCCAATAAGAAGCCATAGATATTGGCCAAAATTCAAAATTGATACAGTGTCTTGGGTCTCTGAGGTGGCTGAGGAAATGGGCAGGAATCCTGTAACTTTTCTTCTTATTTCCTTTATTGTAATAAAACACTGTCATCAAAGGCAACTTAGTGGTGAAAAAGATTCATGTCTTATATTTCCAGGTAACAGCCCACCATTGAGAGGAGTCAGTGAAGGAGCCAAAAGCAGGTAAACTGATGTAGAAACCATGGAGGAATACTTCTCACCGACTTACTCACAGGCTCATTCACATGCTCATGTTTAGTTAAGTTTCTTAGATACTAGGACTGCCTACTTAGGGATTGTACTACCCACAGTGGACAGCATCTTCCTCCTTAAACTGGTAATTAAGAAAATCCTCAAAGATATGCTCACAGTTCAATCTTACCTAGGCAATTTTTCAATCAAAACTTTCCTCTGCAGTAACTCTTGGCTGAATTAAGTTGATAATTAAAGTCAACTAGAACAGTATTCATGTTCCATTTGTCCCATTAATCAATTGATTCATAATTCCTACAAGGTTAAGAATGTTGCTATGTATTTTGGGTGTATTTTCCCATTTATTCATGATAGCATCTTTGTTCTAAGCTCTAAAGCCTAGTATATCTGGAATTTAGACAGACTATCTAGCTCTCTTTTGATTAGCGACACACACACACATCCATTCTTTAAATGTTAACTGATATGTGTCTTTCTACTTACTGAATTTCTTGTTAGGTCTTCTGTTCATGTCAAGATGATGATGTCTCTTTATTATGGTATATAGGTTAAAATGATAGTCCATAAGGTTGGATTTGAATCTAACACCTTGCCAGTTGCTTATTGATACTCCTTTACAAATAATTTAAACATCTTCATGGGCTTATATTATATTTCCTCTTTATTACAGAGGACAGTACAAGATTGATCTTGCTCAAAGAAATATTTAACCTTCACAATGAACTCTGAAAAGTCACCTCCCAAGTTTTGGAAGGACTTGCTTAATAATTAGTTTATCTGTCATAGACTTTGAGCCATTCCAGTTAGCCGAGTGTCACTAACAATGTGATCTACGAGGGATGGAGTCTTGAGCCAGGCAAGTTAGAACCCTGGAAGGGCTGGAGACAAAGATCATTTACATGGCTGATTAATCATATCTATGACTAAAAATCTTGGATCTATCTTGCAATGGGATTTCTAAGACTGCAATGTACTGTGTATTTTCACAGGTAAATAACGGGAGAGATGGGTGGCCTGCAGAACTCAACTGAGAAAGTACATGAGGGAATGTCATTCTTTGCTGGGCCTGAGCTCTACTCTGTATGTTTCTTCTTTTGGCCAATTTTAATTTCTAGATTTATACTGCAATAAACTAACAAGAGAATAATGGGTTTTATGTATTCTGTAAATCCTGGCAAATTACTGAGCCTGAGGGTAGTTTGATGTGTTACCAAGGAAACTGAAGTTTCCTTTTGGATTCTCAGTCTTATTAATAAAAGAATTTGAAGACAGACTTGGAAAGAAGCTCAAGGACAATTTTACAAAGGTGTTGAACAAAACTATCAGGACAAGCAAGCTAGAAAATCTGCAGCTTCCAGAAGAAGGGGAGATAGAGAAAAAGTTCTATCTTTTAAGTTAGATGTGAATATCAGAGAAGCAGCAAGAAAGTGCCATGTTAGGAGCCAGCTTACATAACCTTTTGGTTGGTGTCCAAAAAAGAGATAAGGAAAAGGAAAAAAATATATTCCTAGTTCAGAGTTTCTGAGTTGTGAGAGCACACCACTACAGGCAGTGTGTGCTGGGACAAAGGTTGCAACAGAGATACATGATTAGAAATAGACTCAGGTTTTAAGTGTGTGTGTATGTGTATATGTGTGTGTGTGTGTGTGTGTGTGAGAGAGAGACAGAGAGATCTTATTTTATGTAAAGAAATGGGAGAGAATAAGGGGAGTAGTTGGTGGATTGAGAAAAACATTACAGAAAGCATTGAAGCATTGGACACAAAGTGTGTATCCCTTTAAGACCTTTTACATAGCACCTGGCCTCTCCCATTATATTTTGCTCCTACTGCATACTCTGTTCTTAAGGTAAATTCCGGGTGAGGAATCACTTTCAGTCTTTCCCTACAAACTTTCCCATGTTAATCCTAATATTTCAGTATCTAGCTTCTGTTGTCTTGTCACAGAACGATCAATAAATTCCCAAACACTCTAATTTTAAATATGATCATAATTTTTGTTCATGCACTTTAAGGAACTAAACACAATAGAGCAGATTGCCCTCTTCACTCTTTTGTTGTATCACATTTATGTTTCATAAATGTCAATATCTAAGAAAATGTACTGCTATTACTTCATTTTAGAAAACCAAAAATCTTTCAAGCCTTTGGAAATTAAGAAAACCAACTTAAATATTGATTTTAATAAGAATTTATCTTCCTTTTTGTCAGTGTTTTTAAGCTATCTCTGTCTTCTGTGATAGCCTACAGGTTGAATTATTTCATTTATCATAAACACACACACACACACATACATACATACACTGTAGTCAGGACTCTTTCATCTTACTTTCTTTTTTCTTTTCTTTTTAATTTATTTTTCAGTTTAAATTTAGATAAGAAACAAGGTTGCTTCACAAGTCAGTTCCAGGTCCCTCTCCCTTTCCCTCCCCTACTCCCGTGCCCTCCCCCCAACCCCTCCCCATTATTCCCTCATTTCCCCAGGGAGGGTGAGGCCCTCCATGGGGGTGTCCATAGTCTGTCATTTCATACAGGGCAGGGTCTAGACCCTCCCCCAAGAGTTCAGGGTGAGAATGCACCTCGCATTGTTGGATGGGAGTTCAAAGTCCATGTGTATACTCGGGATGAGTACTGATCTACTGCCCAAGGCTCAATAGATTACCTAGGCCTCTTCACTGACAGACATTCAGGGGGTCTTGATTAGTCCCATGCTGGATTCCCAGGCTGATGCCTGGGATTCAAGAGTTAACCTTGGTAGCTGTCCCTCTGGCATCATCAGGTAAACAGGCCGGCTTCCCGGCCTGTGTTCCAGAGCCTGCAGATCGCCTGGGAACTGCACAGAGCTCCCAATCCCGGTGGGAGCATCAGGTAAACAGGCCAGCTTCCCGGCCTGTGTTCCAGAGCCTGCAGATCAACTGGGAACTGCACAGAGCTCCCAATCCCGGCGGGAGCATCAGGTAAACAGGCCAGCTCCCCGGCCTGTGTTCCAGAGCCTGCAGATCGCCTGGGAACTACAGAGCTCCCAATCCCGGTGGGAGCCAAGCACCCCAGACTCCAGATCTTCTCTCCCACCAACGAGTCTAGGAAACTAGAGAAGGCTGGGAGCACAGGGAAGTAGCTGTCCCTCTGGCATCATCAGGTAAACAGGCCGGCTTCCCGGCCTGTGTTCCAGAGCCTGCAGATCGCCTGGGAACTGCACAGAGCTCCAAATCCCGGTGGGAGCATCAGGTAAACAGGCCAGCTTCCCGGCCTGTGTTCCAGAGCCTGCAGATCAACTGGGAACTGCACAGAGCTCCCAATCCCGGCGGGAGCATCAGGTAAACAGGCCAGCTCCCCGGCCTGTGTTCCAGAGCCTGCAGATCGCCTGGGAACTGCAGAGCTCCCAATCCCGGTGGGAGCCAAGCACCCCAGACTCCAGATCTTCTCTCCCACCAACGAGTCCAGGAAACTAGAGGAGGCTGGGAGTACAGGGAAGTAGCTGTCCCTCTGGCATCATCAGGTAAACAGGCCAGCTTCCCGGCCTGTGTTCCAGAGCCTGCAGATCGCCTGGGAACTGCACAGAGCTCCCAATCCCGGCGAGAGCCAAGCACCCCAGACTCCAGATCTTCTCTCCACCAACGAGACTAGGAAACGAGAGGAGGCTGCGAGTACAGGGAAGTAGCTGTCCCTCTGGCAGCATCAGGTAAACAGGCCAGCTTCCCGGCCTGTGTTCCAGAGCCTGCAGATCGCCTGGGAACTGCACAGAGCTCCAAATCCCGGTGGGAGCATCAGGTAAACAGGCCAGCTTCCCGGCCTGTGTTCCAGAGCCTGCAGATCAACTGGGAACTGCACAGAGCTCCCAATCCCGGCGGGAGCATCAGGTAAACAGGCCAGCTCCCCGGCCTGTGTTCCAGAGCCTGCAGATCGCCTGGGAACTGCAGAGCTCCCAATCCCGGTGGGAGCCAAGCACCCCAGACTCCAGATCTTCTCTCCCACCAACGAGTCCAGGAAACTAGAGGAGGCTGGGAGTACAGGGAAGTAGCTGTCCCTCTGGCATCATCAGGTAAACAGGCCAGCTTCCCGGCCTGTGTTCCAGAGCCTGCAGATCGCCTGGGAACTGCACAGAGCTCCCAATCCCGGCGAGAGCCAAGCACCCCAGACTCCAGATCTTCTCTCCACCAACGAGACTAGGAAACGAGAGGAGGCTGCGAGTACAGGGAAGTAGCTGTCCCTCTGGCAGCATCAGGTAAACAGGCCAGCTTCCCGGCCTGTGTTCCAGAGCCTGCAGATCGCCTGGGAACTGCACAGAGCTCCCAATCCCGGTGGGAGCCAAGCACCCCAGACTCCAGATCTTCTCTCCCACCAAAGAGACCAGGAAACTAGAGGAGCCAGGGAGTCCAGGGGAGTAGCTGTTCCGGATCAGGTACAACAGGACACAGCATAGGGTCCAGGGGACCAGGTAGGAGGCTAAGCGCCCCAGATTCCTGTTCTTCTTCTCCACCCATGGACCAGCATTTGGACAAGGTATAGAAGAACCACCAGATTACTGGACTTACTAGCACCCACCAAAAGGGAACTCTGGTCCCCAGTCCAGGAAGGGGCTCTTTCTGCACCCACTAGAAGAAGAGATGGGAAAGAGACAATACAAAAACACAGTCAGCAACAGAAAAACAAATATGACACCGCCAGATTCTAGAGACTCCACACCAGCAAGACCCCAATATTCTAACGCGAAAGAAGCAGAAGAGAACGACCTTAAAAGCACTTTCATGAAAATGATAGAGGCCCTAAAAGAGGATATTGGAAAATCCCTCAAAGAAATGGAAGAAACAAAGCACAAAATCCAAGAAATGGAACAAAAAGCAAACCAAAAAATGCAAGAAATGGAAGAAAGAACAAACCAAAAAATTCATAAAAGGCAACAAACGGACGAACAGATAAACAGAAAATTGCAAGAAGCAATGCAAACGCTGCAAGGGTTGAAAACTGAAATAGAGACACTAAAAAAAACACAATCTGAAGAAAGGCAGAAAATAGAAAAGCTGGACAAACAGTCAGGCACTACCAATACAAGCTTTACCAACAGAATAGAAGAGATGGAAGAGACAATCTCAAGTGTTGAAGATTCACTAGGAGAAATGGATTCATCAACCAAAGAAAATGTAAGTCCAACAAATCCTTAACACAAAACATCCAGGAAATATGGGACACCATGAAAAGACCAAACCTAAGAATAATAGGTATAGAAGAAGGAGAAGAAATCCACCTCAAAGGGGCAGAAAACATATTTAACAAAATCATAGAAGAAAACTTCCCCAACCTTAAGAAAGACATGCCAATGAAGGTACAAGAAGCCTACAGAACACCAAATAGAGTGGACCACAAAAAAAAATCCCCTCGCCACATAATAATCAAGACCCCAAACATACAGAATAAAGAAAGAATATTAAGAGCAGCTAAGGAAAAAGGTCAAGTAACATATAAAGGCAGACCTATCAGAATTACACCTGATTTCTCCATGGAAACTCTGAAAGCCAGAAGGTCCTGGATAGATATTCTACCTACACTAAGAGACCATGGATGCCAGCCCAGACTACTATACCCGGCAAAGCTCTCAATCACTATAGACGGAGAAAACAAGATATTCCATGACAAAACTGGATTCAACCAATATGTGTCCACTAACCCAGCCCTACAGAAAATTTTGGAAGGAAAACTCCAACCCAAGGAAGCTAACTACAACCAGAAAAACATAAGCATTAGAGAATCCCTCTCTACCAACAGCCAAAAGAACAAAGGGGTGAAATTCCACACATAATTCCACCAACAACAACCATCGCAAATCGAAGAAGGATGAGCAATCAATGGTCATTAATATCCCTCAATATTAACGGCCTTAACTCACCCATAAAAAGACACAGACTAGCAGAATGGATTCGAAGACAGAACCCTTCCTTCTGCTGCATACAAGAAACACACCTCACCCTCAAAGACAGACATTACTTGAGAGTTAAAGGTTGGGAAAAATTTTTCAATCAAATGGACCCAAGAAACAAGCAGGGGTAGCAATCCTAATATCTAACAAACTAGACTTTAAAATAAAATCAATCAAAAGAGATGAAGGAGGTCATTACATACTCATCACAGGTGAAACCCACCA